CGATGAATGTTACAGAGTATTTCCAGTACATTGTTTAGGTCGGTACATAGAAGACTGATTAGGTATTAGATGCCAAGTGTGGATAGAGCCTTAGTATATCAGCTATCTTGCCTTCAGAGATATAGTACATTGCATACACAGTGTGCTTGGATCTATCTCTATAAGGTTGTGTGGGGTGATGGGATGGGGGTTGGGTGATGGGATGGGGGCTGGGTGAAGGGATGGGGGGTTGGGTGAAGGATGGGGGTTGGGTGAAGGGATGGGGGCTGGGTGAAGAGGATGGGGTTGGGTGAAGGATGGGGGTTGGGTGAAGAGTGGGGGGGGTTGGGTGAAGGGATGGGGGCTGGAGTGAAGGGATGGGGTTGGGTGAAGGATGGGGGGCTGGGTGAAGGAATGGGAGTGGGGTGATGGGATGGGGGTTGGGTGATGGGATGGGGGCTGGGTGAAGGGATGGGAGTGGGGTGGGTGAGGATAAGGAGAGAAGATGGTGTTGATTTCATGTTGGCGAGAAAATATACGCTAATGTGGACCTGACCTCACCTGACCTGACCTGACCTGACCTAACCTGGCCCTAACCCTAACCCCGCCCTAACCAGCAATCTACTGTTTTTATTTCAGCTATACAGGAGTCTCCTCACTCTCCAGTTACGTGCAGAACACTCTCCCTCACAATATTCACCCCCCCTAGGCTCTCCCTCCTTCCTTCATCCCTAGGCTCTCCCTCACCCCGCGCCTTCATCCCCCAGGCTCTCCCTCACCTTCATCCCCAGGCTCCCTCACCCTTCATCTCCCAGGCTCTCCTCACCCTTCATCTCCCAGGCTCTCCCTCCTTTCATCCCCCAGGCTCCTCCCTCACCCTTCATCCACAGGCTCTCCCTCACCCTTCATCCCCCAGGCTCTCCCTCACCTTCATCCCCCCAGAGCTCTCCCTCCACCCCTTCATCCCCCCCCCAGGCTCTCCCTCACCCCCCAGGCTCTCCCTCACCCCTAGGTTCCACCTCATCCGTCTTAAGGTATAAAATGCAGTAATAACTAATTAGACCTAAACACACCCATCAAGCAATTCTCCAGTCACCTTTGCGTCCCGTCCGCACTTCCGTCCGTCCTCCCCGTCCCCGCCCGTCCCGTCCCGCCACGCCCCGTTCCGCCCCACCGTCCGCCCGTCGTTCCGCCCACCGTCCGCCCCACCCGTCACCCCGCCCACGTTCCGCCCACCCACCGTCCCGCCCGTCCGTCCACGTTCCGCCGCCCCGTCCGCCGTCCGCCCCACCTGTTCTCTTGTTCGCCACCGCTAGTCACACGACCACTCTGGTGACCCAAGAGCGCAATTGTGACTAATTCTCGGCCACTTTTTTTTTTTTTTTTTTGGTCATACCCAGAAATATTATGAGAACATGAGTAAATTAACTTTTCTATTCGGACTACCCAACACAAATGGAGACCACGATGACGTTACTATAATAATACGACTCTTACCACTCGCGTTGTGGGAATACAGTATATTAATAAACGTACAAATCTTCAAGAATCCAGACCGGAAGTTTTTATTTCTTTGTTAATGAGACAACGTAATATAAAAAAAAAATGACCCTGCGAGGCATTATTTATATATTTTTTTAACCAATCTGAAGTTTCTGTACCTGTTCTTGTACATGTACCGGTGTTGGTGTTATGAAATTTAAAGATCTCTAACTGGGTTCACATTCGTACACCTGAGACAATAATTCCCCGGACACTTGGTAATCCATAAATATACTGTACTTTTTGGGGTGAGTGTACCTGTACCTACATTAAAATATCTCTCTGTAACTGTATATACCTATCACTATCTTGTATCTGTACTGTACCCATACCTGTTACAGTCTCTTTATTAATACAACTCTGTACTGTACCTATATTTGTACCTGTACCGTCGATTTCGTATTTTAAATCTGTACCGCCATTTGCATTTACACATTACTTCCTCAATTAATGCTTTTCTGTAACTGTAATCATACCTATACCTGTACTATGCCTACTCAGTTAATTACCATATATACCTGCGATTGTATTCACACCTGTACAGTTGTTTCTGAAGTACTGTAACGAGTTTCAGTACCTGTAATAGTAATCGAATGTCACTTTTTTTGTTTCCATAAACTAAAACAAAATATAAAGTACAGTCCCCTTCACTTGTGCGTTTACAGGGGCTCGTCTGGTTTTGTGCAGTGTGGCAACCCTGTGTTTATTTACATTCGACAGAAGGAAACTCGCATTAGTAAACATACTATGGAATCAAAGCAAAACAATATTAAAACAACTCAATGTAATGATTTGTGGAATGTTTATATGACGAGCCCCTGTAAACGCACTAGTGAAGGGGACCGTATATATGTCCTGTGTAGTATTTGTGTATTGTTGTTATTTTGAAGTTTCTGTGGCTGTGATAGATCAGGAAGGGCTGTGACGTGGGAGGAGAGACACGGTATTGACATTTATATTTGTTTTCTGGGATGTTGTTTTTAGGATTTATATAAATATACCCACATTTGACCTATGGCCCCAGTAAGTGACCTTCCTCTTCATGATAAGGACCTAGAAACTATTCCGGTTCAAATATTATAGAGACGACACGAAATGTGGGACGGATGGACAAAGCAGCGACTACAAACGAAAGAAAGAGACACTCGCCCACACTAAACTCTACCAGTGTTAGGATATAAATGTGGCTGGCCTCGCTGCCTCCTCCTGCACCTCAGTCTCAGGGTGCAGTATCCGCACTGCCCTTATGTGACCAACTTTCATTAATGACGAAATTCCATTTTTTTTACTAACACGTTTATCGGGAGACTGAAGAATAAAACAGTCACATGTAGTTCATCGCTTCATCTGTTTCTCCACTTCACCAAATGTGTGGAGGTGCTCCTCGGGAGGGGCGCTGATGGCGTGTTTACTCTCCGTTTTGCTGAGCCAACAGCAACCTGTGGCAATGTGAGCTTACACGAGGACTTCACACTTCCGCTGACCAACCTTTTCTCCCAAGGCTTGTACGGGAAGGTGGGGTGGGGTATCCTGTCCAAATCTATAAGAGATTCACTCAAACAGAAACCGATACATCAATCAAAGCACTGGTGTGAGTCTGTCACGGCCACTCCTCAGCTCGAGGTACCAACACGTCTCCTTTTATTAAGAGAAAAACTACGACAGCTTTTTGTTTCAATAACTGACGCTCTTCCAGGATTCCTCCATAATTGCAGCAAGAGGCGTGTCCGTTCTTATCACACTGAGCTCGATGTCGTCACGGAGTACTAAATCTTCAACACACTGTTTAAGGCAGCTGTCGAATAGGGATTAGGTGTGTTGGAGAGAAGGCAGTCAATAGGTTGCTCTCCACACTAGTGGCCAGCAGATCTTAAAACTTTGAAACATTGGACACACAATTTGAGTCTTCAAAACGCGCACGTTAGATTATACCTGTTTGACTATACTGTAGAAACAAGATACATTTTTGACTCACCACCCCAGATGAAAGAGCTTTTTCCAACACATCTAACTTGGCCTCTTAAAAGATAATTATACTTATACACCTCAACTGTTCCCACACACTAGCCAGTTGCTGGAGTACATAGATGAACAAAGCACCACCAGGGAGAATACCGCCCTAAATGTAACTACAAATTAAAGATGTATTCGTGTTTGTTTATATTGAACTATTAGGGTCATTTTGAACTCCATACTTCTCTCTGATCATTGTGAGAAATATTAACCTTTGTATTTAAACTAATTGTATATATTTGCTAATCTGAGGTGTATGCAGATGGTGTGTCTCTTAAAGGCGGAGTTTCTAAGACGACGGTACAGTGGCAACCAAACAACACACTACGAGGATGTAACAGCAATGGTTAATGGTGGAATAAGTAATAGACAATATACTACATGCACATTTATTATTATTATTATTATTATTATTATTATTATTATTATTATTATTAGTAGTAGTAGTAGTAGTAGTAGTAGTAGTAGTATATCAGTTTGTCAAGCAAGTCTAAATATAATGGTGAAATATTACACTTAAAATAAAATCATCAACGTAAGCGAGAATGAGAGGCGAATAATGTAACAGCTTAATTGATTAGGCTTCTGTGAGAGAGAGAGAGAGAGAGAGAGAGAGAGAGAGACTTCTAGTCAATACCAGATTATAAATGACTCATGGTAAATTTCAGCTGACTCAAGAGGCGATAATTCTTGGTCAAGCTCGTGTTTTTTTTCCCACCTCTAAGTAAATATATTAATTTCCTTAAAGTTTCCCTGACTGTTCATGTTGTTGTTGTTTAGAAGTAATTGGATGTTTGCCTAAAATTCAGAGACTTTTCACCTACCTGTAAACAACTTCTCACCTAGAACTAAACACTAACGTCATATATAATCCATCCCCTCCTTGGCGTGAAGGTCCCGCAGTGCGACAAGTTCCGACGTGTAAATTACCCGTGACGTCACTTCCGCTGTCACCAGACCAACACAGCGAAGAGACGTAGGAAGAATGGCATGATACAGCTGACGATTAAATTGACGTGACTCAGCCGACGACTATCATGCGACGTGTTGGAGTCACCTGACAGATTTTACTGCTAAAGTGATGACTCAAATATCACTCATGTAAAAAAAAAATATATTATTGATAACTGATTTATGAAGTAGACTGACACACACACACACACACACACACACACACACACACACACACACACACACACACACACACACACACACACACACACACACACACACTGTAAAATTAGACTTCGGGATGGTATGGGAGAGGGTAAGTTTATTGGGTAATAGGACCACATGTTATAGCGACAAATGTCAAGGATCAGCTTGGGTCAAAACGGGTCAATACTGCGTAATGCGCCATACTTGACCTTTACCAACATGACTAGACACTATAGTTATTATTACAACTACCAACACTATTATTACTAGTTTTAGAAAATAATGATTCATATACTATTTACACTAACCAAGGAGTGCGGTGGTCTAGTAGATACAGCGCTCGCCTTGTTTCATAGATCGATGGTTCGACCCCCAGTCACTCACAGTTCACCCAGCTGTAAATGGGTATACCTAAATTTATTACTTGGGGAAGTCAATGTTGCCGAGATCAGTATCGGCCAGGCTGCCTCCTTGTGTACCGAAGGCTTAGTATACAGTGTGCTGTGTCCACACTGTTCCTATAACGGTCAGTCATGCCTATGGGACCATCTTTCACTTTTTTTTCACAATGACTTAACTACCACTAGTGTTGTTCTAATAAAAAAAAATAAAGATATACTGAGAACTTGTTATTATTACAAATAAATCCTTTATTCACAATATATTGAAAAGCAAAAACAACACACCCGCCTCACGCACCAGTCCCGGGAAGGTGGAGTAACAACACACCCGCCTCACGCACCAGTCCCGGGAAGGTGGAGTAAACCTAACGCACCCGCCTCACGCACCAGTCCCGGGAAGGTGGAGTAACAACACACCCGCCTCACGCACCAGTCCCGGGAAGGTGGAGTAAACCTAACGCACCCGCCTCACGCACCAGTCCCGGGAAGGTGGAGTAACAACACACCCGCCTCACGCACCAGTCCCGGGAAGGTGGAGTAAACCTAACGCACCTGGAATTATGTTTTTGTACCTCGTGGCCTTCAACTCATTGGTCCTGAAACACAACAGGAAACTTCCTCTTCTCTGGGTCAAGGAACCTATATGACGTCAAACTCATTCAGACAATCGGAAGGCTTGACCTTATTTCTAAATACCTGTGACCTGTAAGCTGTACCCCGTGACCTGCAAGCTGTTCCCTGTAAGCTGTGACCTGTGACCCCAGTCCACTTTGCCCCTTTCTCTAGTGACAAGGTTCTTATAAATAAAAATTTACTCTTCAGTACGATGATTCAAGCCCTCTAGTACGATGACTTAACCTCTTGAGTACGAGAGGTTTGTTTTTGCATATCATTTCCTGTATCCTCGAGTCTAATGGCATTATACTGAGGGGGTTTAAGTCATCATACTGAAGAGGTTAAGGGTACACAGACACCAGATTTTTAGGTCGGAAACCAAAATGATGACATGCGGATATACGGACGGACGGACGGACGGACGGATGCACACGTCACGTATTGAACTGACGTATAAAAATAAAACAAAACAAAATTGTAAATAAAAAAAATGGGTCGGAGGGATACATTAATAAAAAGTAAATTGATTTAATAATTTGAAGTAAGTATAAATATACCTTTAACTGCCTCAGGAGTGAATGAGTGGCTTGTTTAGGTGAGCAGCCGCTTGTGTTGTGGTGGCGCTGTTGTGTCACTCTCGGTTAATACTGGTGATGTAACGCCCAGCTGGTCCCACCTGGCACAACTCCCCTCCCCTCCAGGAAAACACCCTACCCCTTCCTCCCCCACCTAGGATATCTCCCCTTCCACACACTCCACCCCTTCCTCTTCCTCCCCATCCTCCTAGAATATCTTCCCTCCTACACACCCCATCCCTACACTCCTCCTCCCCCTCCTAGGATATCTCTCCCACACACTACACCCCTCCTACTCCTCCCACTAGAATATCTCCCCTCCCCACCTGCACCTACCTCCAACCACAAGACTTTCCTCCCCCCTCCCCAACATTTCCCAGGAAACAACCCCTCCTCCCCTCCCCATCACCTCTCCTATGTTTGACTGGTAATACACACGTCACTGTATGGTGTGTATTGTACAAACACTCATTATTCAGTATTTAAATCAATGTGGCCTTAGTGAGTGATGGAGTTATGTATAGCTAAAGATATAATATGTAGTTGGCTTTAATATCAGAAGGTCATATTAGGCGGATTTATTACGCTTTGTGAGTAATGAAAGACAAATATAGAGGCGTTGCGGTAACTCAATATTTCCTCTAACTAAAGGTGTGTGTGTGTGTGTGTGTGTGTGTGTGTGTGTGTGTGTGTGTGTGACTTCCTCTGAGGTACATGAAGAAAAATGTATCCCTCAAATGACCCTTGACCCGGCCGCCCAACCTTCGTCCAGAGATCTCACGTTGAATTTGAATTATTAATGTTGTTTTGTTAGTAAGTTATATACAGGTGGGGAAGTACAAATAATTTTGTGATACTTCATCGGAAAGCGCGCGTGTGTGTGTGTGTGTGAGGTAACATGATCCTACTCAAGGGGTTAAGTCATCGTACTCAAGGGGTTAAGTCATCGTACTCAAGGGGGTTAATAAGTCATTGTACTCAAGATGTTAATGAAGAGTACGTTGTGTTGCCGATACTGGACTGAACATTTCCAGGATAAAAGCATAGTGTACTAAGTAACACCCAGAAGTAGCACTCATAAGTAACAACCATAAAAAAATACCATTAACACCAATAAGTAACACTCATAAGTAACACCACTAAGTCGCTCATACGTAACACCCACATCTTAAACACCAATAAACAAGTATATAAAGAAACAATATTTATTTTGCCCAACATTAAAAAATAAATAAAAAAATAATAATCTTCCATTAATGTAAAAATGTGTAAACACTTCTTATGACGTCATTTGAGAGAGAGAGAGAGAGAGAGAGGAGAGAGAAACAACGACTGCCAGACCAATTGTTTTTGTTTTTATTTTTTGTTTTTGTTATATTTTTCCGGGTTAAAAAAAAAAAGAGGAAAATCGTATAAGACTTTTCATTTTTTTTCCTTCATTGTTTTGGTTAATTTTTCCCTTCAAATATTTTTATCTCTTTTCGTTTTTAATTATTGTTCTTTCTTGTCATTAATGTTTACTACGGGATATTGTTGGTGTGTATGTATAAATATTAATGGCAGACGTAAAGACTAAAATCTACACACACACACACACACACACACAGTATGAAGTCTCACACAACACACATATAACAGACCCTCGATATAACGGACTTTCATATCTATATAGTTCGTTATATTGGGTTTTCACATATAACAGACCCTCGATATAACGGACTTTCATATCTATAGTTCGTTATATTGGGTTCTATAACAGACCCTCGATATAACGACTTCATATCTATATAGTTCGTTATATTGGGTTTTTCACATATAACGGACACTCGATATAACGGACTTTCCTCTCCACAGACTCCGTTAAATACGTTTCACTGTCCAATCAAATACTGTGTCTTGTGTCTTAATAAAATATGAATGTTAACTCCCATTTAACTTCATCTAATCTAACCCTCACCAAACCTAACCTAACCCAACCAAACCTAACCCAACCAAACCAAACCCAACCCAACCAACCAAACCAACCCAACCTAACCCAACCAAACCAAACCAACCAACCAACCAACCAAACCAAACCAAACCAACCAAACCAAACAACCTAACCAAACCCAACCAACCAACCTAACCAAACCAAACCAAACCCAACCTAACCTAACCTAACCTAACCTAACCACCTAACCAAACCAAACTAACCAAACCAAACCCAACCTAACCAAACCAAACCAAACTAACCTAACCAAACCAAACCTAACCAAACCAAACCCAACCAAACCAAACCAACCTAACCAAACCAAACCAACCAAACAAACCAACCAAACCAAACTAACCAAACCAAACCAACCAAACCAAACCAAACCAAACCAAACCAACTAACCCAACCAAACCAACCAAACCAACCAAACCAAACTAACCAAACCAAACCAAACCAAACCTAACCTAACCAAACTAACCTAACCAAACCAAACCAAACCAACCAAACCAAACCTAACCAAACGAAACTAACCAAACCAACCAAACCAAACCTAACCTAACCAAACCAAACCAACCAAACAAAACAAAACCAACCTAACCAAACTAACAAACCAAACCAAACTAACCTAACCAAACTAACCAAACCAAACCAAACTAACCTATAATAAAACTAACCAGAGTTACCCCACAAATGACGAACAAGTGACAATATTTATTCTCTTATACTTCATGAAGACAACAATGAGACCGGTTAATAACATTATTTCAATTAATACACCTGACCGCTGCTCTCCCTACCACTGTTAACACCTGACCGCCGCCGCTCTCCCTACCACTGTTAACACCTGACCGCCGCCTTCCCTACCACTGTTAACACCTGACCGCCGCTCTCCTACCACTGTTAACACCTGACCGCCGCCGTTTCCTACCACTGTTAACACCTGACCGCCGCTCTCCCTACCACTGTTAACACCTGACCGCCGCTCTCCCTACCACTGTTAACACCTGACCGCCGCTCTTCCTACCACTGTTAACACCTGACCGCCGCTCTTCCTACCATTAGCAACCTGACCGCCGCTCTCCCTACCACTGTTAACACCTGACCGCCGCTCTTCCTACCACTGTTAACACCTGACCGCCGCTCTCCCTACCACTGTTAACACCTGACCGCCGCTCTTCCTACCACTGTTAACACCTGGCCGCCGCTCTCCCTACCACTGTTAACACCTGACCGCCGCTCTCCCTACCACTGTACACCCGACCGCCGCTCTCCTACCACTGTTAACACCCGACCGCTTCCTACCACTGTTAACACCTGCCTTCCTCACCACTGTTAACACCTGACCGCCGCTCTCCCTACCGCTGTTAACACCCGACCGCTTCCTACCACTGTTAACACCTGACCGCCGCTCTCCCTACCACTGTTAACACCTGACCGCCGCTCTCCCTACCACTGTTAACACCTGACCGCCGCTCTCCCTACCACTGTTAACACCTGACCGCCGCTCTTCCTACCACTGTTCGACCGCCGCTCTTCCTACCACTGTTAACACCTGACCGCCGCTCTCCACCACTGTTAACACCTGACCGCCGCTCTCCCTACCACTGTTAACGACCCGCTCTACCACTGTTAACACCTGACCGCCGCTCTTCCACCACTGTTAACACCTGACCGCCGCTCTCCCTACCACTGTTAACACCTGACCGCCGCTTCCTCACCACTGTTAACACCTGACCGCCGCTCTTCCTACCACTGTTAACACCCGACCGCCGCTCTCCTACCACTGTTAACATCCGACCGCCGCTCTACCACGACCCGACGCCGCCTTACCA